TACCACAGTCGTCGTACTGACGAGGTCCAACTGTGGTAACGGTAAGAAATGCATACGACTTAATGGAACGAAACATTTCTTATCTACTTCAATAATTCCTTCCCTTTCATGTTTTCCATCGTTTTTTCGCAAATTTTTGCTTTAACTCTAAGTAAGAAGCAGCTGTTTCAGTGGCGATACTGCACAGAAACATGCAGTAAAGAAACAAAAAAAAAAATGAAATGCAAAACTGGCCTTTCAGGTTGCTCGGCACAGGCACAATGTGCAGTGCTCGCAATCGGAGTGCTCTGAAATAAAGCCGCAATGTTTAGTCCTTTGTATCTTCAGGGCGATTATTTGATAAAAGTTAGATCAAATTCTGAATAATGTATTATCTCAGTCGAAGTAAAACAACTGGCCAACGCACAGGCTGCCCGCGCGAAGACGCGTTTTTTGCGTAGTTCCCCGCCGGTTTTGTCGCTACGGGCACCTTTTTTCGGCAAATGCTTCTAGCTAGAACTGCCGCCAGAAATGTTAGGAAACACCCTCTTAAAATTTCAGCTTCCTAGCTTTCCTAGCTCCTGAGTTAGCAAGTTACCCAAACAAAACTTGACGGGCCCGTATGTGGGTACCAAGCGTACCCGAAGTCTGGGTTTGAGCTCAATAAGACTTAGGTGAACGGAGAATACGCTCTTAAAATAACAGCCCTTTAGCTTTTCAAGTCCCTGAGTTACCAACCTATTCGAAAAAAATTTTGGCGGGCCCGTACACGGGTACCACGCTTACCCGACGGCTGTGTTTGAGTTCATTAATACCTACTTAGACGGGGAACGTCCCCTCAAAATTTCAGCATTCTGGCATCTCAGATCCCCGAGTTACGAACTCACACGGAAAAAATTTTGGCGGGCCCGTACACGGGTACCATGCTTATCCGGGGGCTGGGTTTGAGCTCACTGATACCTGCTTGGGCAGGGAACATCTCCTAATATTTCAGCTTTCTAGCAACTCAGATCGCTGAGTTATCAACCTACTTGAAAAAAATTTTGGCGGGCCCGTACACGGGTACCATGCTTACACGGGGGATGGATTTGGCTGCATTAATAGCTCTCACCTTGTGGATTATGATACGGCTTCTAGTGCTCAAAGGCATGCCACGTAATGCTCGCATTTTCTTTTGCGGTTGTTCCTCATCGTCCATTTCCTCATCGACCAATCCATTTCTGCAGCAGTGCTTATCTGAAATGTTCCAGTTAGCATGAAACCTCGACGATATGCAGCCCCTATACCTTGTTTTTTACTTTCTAAGTTCGCAAACTAATTTCAGAAATATATTTATCAGAAATCCGGTTCTAGCAACCCAGTGCACGTGTGAAGCCCCCTTTCCTTTCTCCAAACTTTCGTCAACCCGGTAAAAGCATATCAAATAAAATAACTGGCCAATGCATCGACTGCTGGTGCGAAGATGCGTTTTTTGCACAGTTCCCCGCCAGTTTTTGTTGCTATTGGCACTATTTTTTGAAGTAAATGCTTCTAGCCAAAAGAATTGAGACTGGTCACCAACACTGCCAGAAAAAATCCCCTTAAAATTTCAGCTTTCTAGCTTTTCTGGTCCCCGAGTAATCAGCTTACCTGCCAAAAACTTTCATGGACCTGTACTTGGTTCTCACAACATATAGGGGCTGAGTCTGAAACCATTTGATTATACGTGGACCGGAAAACATCTCCTCAAAATTCCGGCTTTCTAGCTTTTTTTTTGGTTCCCAAGTTAGCAACTTGTCCGACAAAAACTTTCACGGGCCCTTACGTGGAAACCACGTGGGCAAGAGTGTCCATTTTGGGGAGTCGGGGCCGTACATGCGCATAGATTAATTTCTCAAAATTTCAGCCTTGTAGCTTTTGTAGGTCTCGAAATAAAAGCCCGGTACAGATGCACACATAGAAAAACCCTCGAGAATATGCATTTTTATATTGTGTAGGTGCAAAAAACGCATAAAAAAATGGTACCTTTCAGCAGAGAGAATGAGAAATAGTGTAAAAAAAAAGAAACAACATCGAGAGGCGGAAAAACCACGGGGGCTGAAAGGCAGCAAGAAAGAAATCTTTATTCAAATCTTTAAATCTTCATTCCTTCTAAACTGCATATCCATCTGCATTAAATGGCCTGGAGTTACTAGTTTTACGCCGATCTGATGCACAGAGCCAGAGATATCAGGGCCTAGCAAATCGGCATGCTTCTCGGCGATGAAAGCTATCGAAAAATTAAAAAAAAAAGAGGACTAACAGGCCGCTGAAGAACGAATACTTTCCGCTTTCCGTAGCACATTCTCTTCGAACGAACTCCTCCGAGACCACTGCCAAGTGTGCGAAATTCGACGCTTCCGAGCATTGCTCACCGTCTTCTCAACGGCACAACTCCGACGCCAAACCACTGTATGCTCATCGTTGTAATCTGAACGAATTTTTTGCATTTTTTGAGAATCATAGAAATAAACGAATAATCAAAAACAGAGATAACAACAATAGCAGCAGCAGCAACAACAACAACAACAACAACAACAACAACAACAACAACAACAACAGCAACGACGACAATAATAACAACAACAAAAAATCATTAATAAGAGGTAGTAGCAGATTGATAAGAATAATAGTTTGGAATTTTTTTAGCCCTGTAAAGTTTCCTTTATGCCTGGAATTTTTTTGACATCGTGGACCAGAAATTCAAGTGAAGTGCTACGAGCCAGATCTGCCGTGAAAGATATCACTGAAGCAGTGTACGCCAACAAGAAGAGATGGGCTGGTCATGCGGCTGGTCGATGACAGATAATAGATGGACAAAGCGGATAATGGAATGGTATCCGTGTGTCAAATATGTATTTCTAATTATAAAATTATATAAGTCTCTTTTTTCTCCTTTTTTCTAGCCTATGATTCAGGAATGTCAATTGCATTCTTGTGTGTTTATAATTTCCTCATTTTTGTCCTATCCCCTTTTTCATACCTACAAAAACCACTTCATTTTCCACTTATCTTTCTTATCTTCTTTTGGCCCCCTATCCCTATTCCCTTTTCCTTTATCATCTCCTTTTATCTCCCACTCCTCCAAATTCCTAAATTTCCTCCAAATTATTACATCATTCTTCCCTGTCTTCCGATGCTGCAGTTAAGGACCACGTGCGGATTTAACATATGAGGAAAGAAGGTAAGAGTGGGATAAGACGTTTCGGTCCATTAAGTCATATACGTTCTTTTTCTTGAAAATCAAGCTTTATAAATAGTGCTGTTGCTATGAAGTCCGGCACAACTGGTCCAGCTATGTATGGACATCTGAATGTTACTGCAACAAGACGAAACGAAGACGAGCATCGTTGGTAGGTTGATCAACAAGTGATGCAGCACTGGTCGAAGCAAATATAACTTGTTGAATGAAATTCATCGCCAAAGATCACTTTACATCGCATTTTTAGTATCGTACGTGTAGCTTACCGTGAAGAACCCGTCGTGACCGGCACGCATGCTGTTGTTTTTCCGGGGCATCACAAGTTGCTGGCCGGTTACTGATCGTCTTTCGTTGCATATTCCTGGAAAAAAATAAGAGAAATATACGGAAAATCACGTCAGTTTCGCATGCTGGCAAGGATTTTTTACGGAAACACGAAGGTCAAGCCTCTTGATGACAGTAATCTTGAAAAAACCCTCCCCTCCAAGTCCACGGCTGAAAAGAAGTTCAAAAAAACGAATATATTACCAAATAATTCTCAGAGGATGGCAAGGTAGACCTCAAAGCGATTTGGAAGTGATAAGATCTGGAAAGGATCCCGCCCAAGCGTCCCGCCAACTCCTTCCGTGTACAGCGAGACAGGCGTTTTTCACAAGCCTGCAGGTGATACCCAAGA